CAATCTAGAGGTGTCCATTCCATTCATGGATATCTCTAGATATGAGGAAAGTTTTCCTTATTATAAGCCTGAATATGCCTGTATAATTTCTGCCCATCGCTCCCAATTCTGCTTTGGGGTTAAGCTCCCTACGCTGAGCAGCCTTTCCTCACGATGAAGCCTCCAATCCATGAAGATACCTGTCATGTCCTCCCTGTGTCTCCTCCTTTTCAGGCTAAACACGAGCAGGTCCTTCAGTTGATCCTATTATGATGTGGTCTTTGGTCCCCTGAGCATCCTAATCGCCCTCCTTTGGGTGCTTTCAGCTTGTCGGTATGACATCTCTTTTAAAATGGCGCCCGCTCAAATTGAACACAGTAGCCTGGATGTCCCATGGACAGACCTGGCCAGAATACAGTGGGACCATCTCTCCATTGCTCTGGACACGTCACCTCTTTAATGTTTACTAGCATCACACTGGCTTTTTTGGTTGCCAGGGTTGACTCACGCTGTACTTGTGTTTCACTAAAAACCCCAGTTCTTCTCGGATTGACTCGTCCAGCCCCAAGTACAAGCCCACCTTGTACTTGTGCAATTGAACCCAATGTTAGAGTGATGTGCCAGTTTATGCTTACAGAAATACACACACACACACACACACACACACACACACACACACACACTCAGGCATGTGTCAGGTCAACGAGCATTTTTTAGGTGCTTACTCTGTGCCAGGCACTGTGTTAAGGTCCAAGGATGCAAACAAAGACAGAAATAGCCCTTGCCCCTACCTACGTTCTAATGGGGGAGATAACATGTGAACAACTCTGTCTCTGTCTGTCTGTCTCTCTAATTACATGTATGTATGTATGTATATACACACAGAAAATAAAGTTAGAGCTTATTTGATATTGTGGGAGTCTGATGGCAAAGAGCGATGAAATGATTGACGGGCCCCACAAGAAGCTGGTGATAGAGCTGGGTTCCCTTGAAGTTTCTTTCAGTCTATTCACGAGGCAGGCCTTCGTCTCATGAGGCAGCTGCCCCCTTGGAAGGGACAGCTTTTCCACATCACCTTGTGTATCTGAGCAAAGTGTGTTTCTTGACTTTCTTGCCCACGGTGTCCTCCTCTGTTTCTGGAGGGTGAGAGGATGGGTGAACCCGGGGGAGGGGAGGAAGGGAATGTAGCAGGGTGAGACTTTGGCAAAGGCTCCATCAAATGGGTGACTGGGACATGAGGAGGGTTGTCTTTAGTCAGAATATTTCAAGCCCATACTTATACTGTATTTGCTCTTTCTCCCAATTTTCAGGCAAATGTTTGCTGCTATAAAATAATGATAAAGATTCATATTGCATATGAGAGTGAAAAGAGAGGTGGCTGTAGAGACAGAGGTCCTGGGTTCAAATCTTGCTCTGTATGACTTTTGGCAAATCACTTAACCCCTCTGGGCCTTAGTTTTCCCAAATGTAAAATGAGAAGATTGGACTCTTGGTTTCAGAGGTCTCTTTCATCTCTAAGTCCCTTAACCTCCCTGGCCCTCAGTTTTCTTGTCTGTAAAGTGAGGAAGTTGGAGTAAATGATGTTTTGAGGTCTCTTCCGTCTCTGAATGGGTCATCCTCATCATCTTATAGAGCACTTTGAAGGAGTGGGGGGCACTTTTCTCATAACAGCCACTGGGAGGTAGGGGGCATAAGTATTATCTACGTGTTACAATTGAGGAAACTGAAGCCAGGATACAGTGAAGTGATCCTCCCAATATCATGAAGCTGGTGCGTGAGTGGGGCAGAATTTGAACCCAGGATTTCCTGATTTCATGTGAGGCGCTCACTCTATGACATCATACCGCCTTTCAAAGTGAGGGTGTTTATTTTTAATCTCCTTAGAAAATAAATCGTGTTGTTCATTTTCTCCTTTAACAGTAAGTCCCCTTCCAAAGCCTTACTGAGTCATGGAGGATTCACAAGTAATGCCAGTGAAGCACTGATTCTGAGAAGGCTTTAGCTCTGGGCCCCTTCATGCCTGCATGTCTCCTGTCCCTGGTCCAGCCTGGCTCAGTCTGACCAGGTCCCTCACCAGGATGGTTGTAGGCTAATAGACATTTCTGCTATCTCATCTTTTGGAGACCATCTGCCGTTCTATGAAGAAATTAGACATAGCATGGGACAATGGGAAGAGTACCAGATGATCTGAGTTTAAAACCCACCTCTGACACTTATCATTTATGTAACCTCAGTTTCTTCATCTGCAAAATGAGAGGCTTGAGCTAGAGACCCCCACGGACCCTCCTAACTCTAGATTTCTGATCTGTGGAGAAGTATTGAGGTATATTTGGAGCAAAAGGGAACATAGAAAAACCCAGCTTCATATGTGTCTGAACTTGAAAGTGTTTGGTGTGAAACCTTGTCAAATTTGAGTAATGGTGAGAGGTAGGTCTACATTAAGAGGTCCAAATCACTTGGCTTATTTATGCCTCCAAAAAATGAAGGCAAGAGTATACCTCTCCATGACACATTTACACAACCTGGGAGCATTTCAGGAAAATCTTGTACATGTAGGCACATTGATTCATTACAGTTTCCTTGAAAAGTAACGCAGTTCTATTAAACTGAACCGTGGCTGCTCACAGAGACCAGGCAGCCCCTTCCCACTGCACTGATGCTGATTGCTGTAACCCCCAGTGGTTGCCTGGCTATGTAGGAGTGCTATTAGTTAAATTAGGATTTGAAAAATGACATGTAGTGTTAGATGTGTTGTTTTTTTTTCAATCCTCCTAGGGAAGGTACCTTGTTTCAAATCATCCATCTAAGCCATTTATCTGTCCAGACGTATTGAATCTTTTTTCTACCCTTGATTCACAATCAGCTATAAAGTCAAGCATAGTCAGTCTTTCTGTGGGCTCTTGATTGTGTTCTAAGATTCTTATTTGCCTCTGATTATTCCAAGGCTTTTTTGTCTAATATCAGAGGAAAGAAATATCAGGAATGTATCTGTGATGTATCAGCATTACAGGTGAGTTGTGTTCCCAAGGCTTATCTCAATATCAGAAGGCATTTTCTAGAGACTTTTCCAATGTGTCTGTAGTCTCACCAAAGTGAATACTCCCTCCAGTGATGCAGATTGCAGCTCATCTGTGTCAGCCTATCATATATGACTCCTGTTCGTGTCCTGTCGTAAATTCACCATGAGGGCATTGGGGGGGGGGTGCATCCTCCTCTTTCTCCTAACATTGTAAAGAGGGAAAGACCCTTAGTTAGGGATTAAGATGATACAGATTCAGATTCTACTTCTGATGCTCACTACATCTTGTGACCAAAACTCTTGGGGCCTCAATTTCCCATCTGTAAAATTAGGAGAAGGTGAACCAGATGACCTCTAAGGTTCCTGACAGCTCAGAATCTATGATGTTGTGATCTTATGATTCTGGTGGAGCACACAGGCCGCCCATTGGTTATTCCTTACTCTCGCCACATGACCAATTCATCTTCTTTTCATTTAGGTATTAGCTTGGTGAAAATTGTTTTCTCTCCAGTTTTCCTTTGTAATTTTTTATTTGTAATGGGGTGCAGCTTCGTCCTGTCTACCATTTACTTCTTCACTACTCTCTGAGTTATACATCTATAGTTATACAATTTTGGGGAGCGGCAATGTTCTAAAACTTGAAGCTTTAACCATCCACACAGTGGATGAAGCGGATGAAGTGTTTATTGTCTAGATCAGCACTTCTTAAACTGTGGGTCATGATCCCATATAAAGTTGTGAAAAATTTGGCAACAGTAAAAGGTTTCTAAATGCACAATGACAAAAATTAATTCAAAATCAAATGTGTAGTGAATCTGAGGTGTTTCTGGCAGTACTTGCCGGTTTTGCGTCAGGCAACTTCACTGCTGCCTTGGTTCTGAACACACAGCATGCGCACTTTGCACCGCGCATGCCCTCAGGCCACACAATGCCAACAAACATTGCCAAAACATGAAAAGGGGGTGTGAGTGGAAAAAGTTTAAGAAGCCCCGATCTCGACTATGGCATGCAGTTCAGTGGGTAACCTTTAAAGCCCATCCATCAGAGATCTGTCTGTTGGGCTGTCTTAGCTATAGATTTTGCTGTAAGGATCAATGGTCAGTGGTCCTGATGCTGCCTGGGGTCTGTGTCCATTCTTCCTATTGGCTATGGTGATGGACCACTGCACACATGTCACGCTAATACTTACCCACCCACAGCCTGTGGCCCTGAAATCTTGGGGCGGCTTCTATTTAGGGTTTTTAGAAGAAACCAAAGAAACCAAAGTAGAAAGGACTTTGGATTTGGAATCAGAGAACCTGGGTTCAAACCCCAGGCTCTGCCCCTTACTGTCTCCATGACCCTGGACAAGTACCTTCCCTTGGCTTCACTTGCATAAGATGAAACAGTGACCTCTTTAAAGTTGGAGGAGCTGAGTTACTACCACATGACTTTGGGCAAGTTTATAGCGTGCCCTGGGCCTCGGTTTCTTCATCTGTAAAATGAAAGGATTCAGAAGATCCTGGTCTCAAGCCTGGCTTGGCCCCTAACTATCCATGTGACCTTGGTCATAATTCCCTGGGGCTTCAGTTTTCTCTTTGGTAACATGAAAGGCCCCCTCCCGCTAAGAATCTCCTATCCTCATGAAAGTTGCCTCCTTTTCAGAAGGCTTCCAAGTGGAATAATAAGGTGAGGAATAATCTCGACAATATGAAAAGGAGTCATAGGCAGAGTTTCAGCTGGGGCAGCCTGGTGGCTTTCCTCCACCCTGCTCCCCTTCAAAGTAAATAAAAAACAGTAAGATCTTAGCCTGCAGGGAGCCTAATGAATATGAGCCAGTCAGAACCTTGGATCCATGTTAATTTGTCCTTGTCTGTTTGGGGAATTTGATATCCTAAGAGCCGTTGGGAAAAGGGCTCCCTGAGCGGTGAGTTTTGCATGTTTCTGAGACTGCAGCCAGGGATATTAATGAATTTTTGTGTTTCGTTTTTCTTTGTCTCTGTCCTTTCCCCTTAACCTGTAGATTTATGAGGAATCCAAGATGAACTTGGAGCAGGAAAGGCCGTTCGTCTGCAGTGCTCCAGGCTGCTCGCAGGTGAGTGGGTCCCACTGGCAGGCCTCTGGCGGGTGCCTGGCAAGTGACTTTGGCGCTAGCTTCCAAGACCGCTCTTGGTCTGCTCCATCACTGCTACATCCTGTTTGGTCTCTCCAGGGAGAGGCTGTGGTTGTTATTATCATCACGGTCCCCCTTCCCACACCCCAAATGCTGTGAGCCGGTGTGCACACATCCATAGAGCCATAGCCACTGAAATCTAATAGGGCCGACCCCCTCCCCCCTCCCTCCCCCACCCCCAGGAAGCGAGCCAAACCCATGGCTGGCCCCTCCAGATGTCCAGGCTTGTCATTTGAGAAATGGGGAGAAAGAGGAAGTCTGTTTTTCCATGGAACAATTTGGACTTGGCGTTGTTGTATTATCGATGGAGACACAACCCAGCATGGAGACCGTAGGAGAGCTTGGCTTCTTGCCAGATTGAGGAGTGTCCTCTGAATGCCCAAGGTCCTCTTTTCTACCTTATGCTTTTTAGGGGAAAGGGGCCTTGAGACCTTTCTTTGGTATGGAAACTTCTGGTGTGGAGTCTCCCTCCACCAATGCAGATCAGCATTGACTTAGAGAAGTTAATTAACGTGCCCAAGGTCACACAGCCAATATATGTCAGAGGCTGTACTCAAACTCTACCCTTTGTGACTCCAAAGGCAGCCCAATATCTACTATGGCACCTCTACCTTGGAGGACAGCAAATGGGGCAGATTGTAAATCTCCACAGAACAAAGCCTGAGGTTTTCTGTTCTCTGTCACCTCTGTGGACACTTCTTTAATCATATTGTAGCACTTGATGATGACATTGAAACCTTTCCCACATTCCTATCATTAGGAGCACACGTGGGAAACTGAGGCAGCTGACCACTCGTGGTCACTGGGAGTGCCCATGCTTCAAGCTTCTGTGTGCTCTTCTGTCAAACCTTGAGCCTTTTGCTGTCTGAGGTCCTTTCCTTTCCCTAAATTGTCCCTAGAGTATTTAGTGAGAGGCAGAATTCCCATCTGGAATGTTTCTCTGGAGGGGCACTGGGCAGTAGGACCTGGGGAGAGGCCTCTGGGGGCCTTTGGGAGGAAACATGCTATGGAAATGTAAGTCTCGGTTTCTTGGACCCTCACAAGTTATGAACTGCTCCAAGAGGAACCAGAATCACCTGCTCAAACCTGGGCATGTTAATGCTACCCAGGCCTATGGACAAATGCTGACTTCTGACCTATGGATCAGGAATGTTGGAGGAAATGATCAGTGACACTGAAATGTCTTTTGAAATGAATTGTGGCAGATAGAGCCCTGCCTGGACTAGGGGTCCTAGAATCTAGGTTCAAATACCATCTCTACAGCTTTCTAGCTGTGTGTCCTTGGGTAATTCTCTATAACTCCCTTTTGAAATAAAATAGACAGGTAGGATAAAAGAAGATACGGGTGGGTAGATAGTAGAACTCCAAAAAGTGATCATCATTGCACTAAAATGCGGCATTTCTCTCCATTGGAACGATGGCGCGTTCCTTTACATAAGTAAAGAAGAAGTGATTAAGGGCTTACCTTAAGGCCAGGCTTCTATAGCTACAGAGGAACAGAGAATTTTGCCAAATTGAAGTTGCTTCCAAACTTGGCTTTTGACAACTAGCCTTATGTTTCATTTGCTATTTTAAAATAAAGCCCCCAACAAATTGTGTTTCTTAAGCCAGATTCCCATAAGTGGGCAAAGTACTCTTACTGGAGAGGGACGCGGGCTGGAATCTTGCATTGACTCTTTCTAGTCAGGCAGGTACTACTAACAAGGTAGCTGACCAGGTGGCATGGTGCTTAGGGCCCTGGGCCTGGAGTCAGGAAGACTCATCTTCCTGAGCTCAAATCTGCCCTTAGACACTTACTAGCTGTGGGCCCCTGGGCAAGTCACTTCACCCTGTTTGTCTCAGTTTCCTCATCTGGAAAATGAGCTGGAGAAGGAAATGGCAAACCACTCCAGTATCTCTGCCCAGCAAACCCCAGATGTGGTCATGAAGAGTTGGACACAACTAAAAATTGCTGAACAACAAAGCTAGCTAAAGCACTTACGCCACTGTGCCAAGTGTGGGGAACATAGATACAACCAGAAAGCAGAAAGCCAGGCGCTGACCTCGAGGAACTGAGGGCAGATAACTTATAAAAGGGAGCTGAAAAGTTGGAATGGAGGAAGAGGAGGTGCTCACGTGGGGCCCTGGTGGAGAGATCTGGAGGCAGAAACAAAGTGAGGAGAGGAGAGGAGAGGAGAGGAGAGGGGAGGGGAGGGGAGGAATGAGCACTGCTGGCTTGGCCACTTCTTCAAATGGAGAAGCGCTCGAAGGGAGAAAGGCACCAGTCCGAGGATGAGCCACAGGGCTGGGTGGAGGCATTTTCCAAGGTGCTAAGGCTATTGGGATATGATAGAGAAGTCCAGTGAATCAGGAGAGGGGCTAGGAGAGGACTGAAGGAGTGAGCCTGGTGTACTGGACAATGTGCTGGAGATGGAGGCTGAGAACCAGGGTTCACATCCCATGTCTGCTCGGTATGTGACTCCCAGAGTTATCTCGGGGCTTAAATGGCTAGCCCTGTAACTAGGGCAGAGTGATCAGGAGTTTTCCCCAGGAGGTCCAATTTGGACAGTTCCTGTGTTTGGTGGGCACCAGATTTAAAGGATGCTCATGGAGCTTGCAATCAATCCCCCAGTGGCTAGAAATCATAGAACTTAGCCCCTGGGCAGCAAGAAGAATTCTAATAGGAAGCTACTCAGTGACAAGTTGGGGTGAGTTCCCCCTCCCTGCCCCTTTACCCTTTAACTGAAGGAAAAGTTCATGGCATTTGCCCCAGCCATGGTCTCAGCACATTTCCAAGTTACTGCTCTGCAAATGAGATAATGTGGGTAAAGTACTTTACAGACTTCTAAGTAAATATCAGCTATTATCATAATTATTATTACCTGAAAGAAATGGCAAACCACTCTAGCATCTTTGCCAGGAAAACCCCAAATGGGGTCAGGAAGAGTTGGACACAACTTAAACAACTCAATAACAAAAATGTGAGCTTAGCCAATTCACTGATTCTCTCTGGGTCTCATCTGTATAATGGGTTCTTTGGATTAGGAGACTTCTAAGATCCTCTCCAGGGCTAAATCCAAGATTCTATGATGCTATGAACCCAACGGACTTTTTGAAGTTGTCGTATCTTCTAAAAGTGGCCACATCACGACTCTAGGTCCCATAGACAGAGTATTGGATGCTTTACAATTCATTCCCTTTCCTCACACCAGGCTTGTGAAAGAGATATTGTGACCAGTGGCATGCCTATTTTACAGATCAGGAAACTGAGGTCTAGAGAGGGTAAGTGAGGTGTAAGGGAGGCATAACTGGTACGCAGGTGATTCCAGGTGTCTCGCCCATTCTGCCATATCGTGATGTCTCAGGATACAGATTCTAATCCAAGCCCTAACTATTAACTAGCCGTGTGACTGACCTTGGTAAGAAAATATCTCTTTCTAGGGCTATATTTTCTTACTTGTAAAAAGGAGATAATGTAATTCCCTTCCGGTCCTGGATCCCATGATCCTAGACTTTACGTTACAAAGTTGATGAGGACACCTCATTGTCCAACTGAAGCTTTTGGAGTAGGACAGTGACGCGGGCAGGCCTGGGCTCTGGTACTGGCCTGGGAAGGGTCCTGCTGGATTCTGGATACAAGAATTTCCCCATCAGTTTAAAACCGAACAGGGAGGTTTGTTGTTTTGGCTTTGTTATGATGGCTTTTTTTTTTCCTGCCCTAAATAAACGTGTTCTCTGAAGGCTCTTTTTTCCCCCTTTTTGTCAGACTTGGTATAGAAACTTTCCCTGTGTGTGGTCTCCCCCTTACAATGTGTGTTCCTTGAGAGCAGGGCCTGTCTCTCACTTTTCTCTTTGAATCCCCATCACATATATGTGTTTTACACACAATAAGCATTTAATAAACACTTTTTTTTCTTTCTCTCATCCATCCATCCATCCATCCATCCATCCATCCATCCATCCATCCATCCCTTCCTCTGGTTTCCTGAGCCTAGCCTTTTTCTTGACAGTTTGTCTTCATTTTAGAGACATCCTCATTTCCTGCCTGGTACCCACCCCCACCCTTTCCCTTCTCTAGAACCCCTCATATCTAGAATATTCCTTGCCAGAAACTTTCAGCTTCCTTTATTTGGCACTTACCTACTTGTGACATCAGAGGTGTAAACCAATCAGAAGCCCCCAAGGGAGGCCCCTCCTCTCTCTGTAAAATGCCAGACCCCTCTGTCACATCATTATAACTTGGTCCTGCTGTGTAGGATAGCCCATTGGAAGAGAGGGAGTGAGCCAGTCTAAGGTAGGTGCCTCTCATCTGAATTGTCCAGCCCCTTCTTCTGCTGGGATTGCAGATAATTCAGTTTAACAGTCCAATAAACCTCTAATTAGCTGCCCACAGTGTGCCAGGCACTGGGCACTGGGGATGCAGAGACAAATGTAAAAAGTCTCAGACCAGAGGCAGCTGGTGATCCCACTGAGTTTGAGTAACACAGCACAAAAAGACAGAATGAAACAAGAAAAATGTGTAAAGAGACTCATTGGATCACTTCGGGCAATTTGCTTTTGTCCTAGTCCCAATCTCTAGGAAAACTGAGGCACGCTACAAATGATGACAGTTGGAGCCCTCGCACATGTGACCTGAGCCCTCCAGAGAGCCTGGCTGTGCCCTGCTCTCTGTGTGTGATTGGTATCCAAACCTGTGTGCTTGCCCCTTCTTCTTGGGACTTTCTGTCTTATCACCCATACCCATGTTCAATGAAGCACCTTCCCTTGCCTGTTGGCATAGTGTTCCCGTGATAAAGAGATGCTCTTAGCATCTCTGGAGAGTTCATATCTTTCAAGATGATGATTTCAATTCCCCAAAGTGGACCCAGCAGATTGAGATCGTGCATTCTGGGCTGGATCGGCACTTGTTCAAATGTTTCCAACTTTATTTCTTCGTGTTGTATTCTCTAAGCCCAGGGCAGGATAGGGGCCATCTTTGGGCTCTCGGATCTTGAATTCCTATGAAGATGTGTTGTTTACTGATTGACTACAGGGCTGGCACTGGGAAGGACTCATCTATTAGGATAAAAGGTCCATGATGTAGAGCTGGGGGGGACCTCAGAGGTCATCTCATGCAATCCCCTTATTTACAGCTGAGGAATCTGAAGCCCAGAGAGGGGAGTGATTTAATCAGTTTTACATAGGGAGTGGTAGGGCTGGAGTTTGAAGCCATCTCCAGTGGATTTAAATGCCTCAAGGGAAGCAGCTCCTACAGTCTGGTTCCCTTCCTACCTTTCCAGCCTGATTTTCATATTATTCCCCTTTCTGTAAGGCTCCACCCCAGTCAGACTGGTCAGGTGGCTGTTCTAGGAGTACATGAATGGCCATCTTCCCCTTTTGGGAAGGCTGACCTCCTTCATGCCTGGAAAGCTCTCCTTCATCTTTGCCTCATGGAACCCCTTCCTGACCTCAAAGGGCAACTCATGGGCCACCTCCTACAGGGAAGTCTTCCTCTAAATCCCAACTAGAAAGTACACTCCTCAAGGACAGGGATTGTTTCATTTTTGTCATTTTATCCCCAACATTCAACATGGCACCTTGGGCATATAGTGGATGTTAGAATGCTTTTTCAGTACCTGTGTTCACACCTTCCCTGCCCCCTCCCCAAGCAGAATCTCAATTCCTTGAAGGCAAAGATTGCTTTATTTTTTTTTTTGGTACCCCATTGTGAGTCCAATGTAGAGGGCACATAGTAGGTGCTTTTTAAAATGCCTGTTGAATTGAATGGAATTAGATTCCCCTGGCCATCTTAGCTGATTTAGATAATGCTTCTTTCATTTTGGTGTTTTTGAAAAAAAAATGTTATGGATATATTTTGCTTTTACATCACTGACATTTCCCAACACATCCTTCCCTCATTCTTCCCAGAGAGTGACAAAGCTTATGTGAAAAAGCCCAGAGTCCCAGGTTGGAGCGCCCTGGGGGTAGGAGAACACATACCCTCCAGACTCTTGGTATTCCTCCAGGTGATGCTGCCTGCCACCAGGCTCTCTCCTCTGCCAGTGGAGGGCCTGCATTTTTGACTCCTCCACTCAGGTGGCAGACAGAAGAGCCTGGCAGCATCCTTCATCCCATATGCAAAACTCACACTTTCTCACTTCTCCAAGGAGGTTTTTGGCTCCCCTGGCACGTCTGAATTGCTAGATGATCATTTCCCCACTATCCCCCCTCCAGCTGGTGCCAAATGAGCATTGGGAAACTCACTGAACAGATCTACTTTTCTTTCTTTCTTTTTTTCTTTGTATTTGTCTGACAGCGCTTCCCGACTGAGGATCATCTGATGATTCATAGACACAAGCATGAAATGACTTTGAAGTTTCCCTCAATAAAAACAGACAGTTTGTTATCAGGTAAGACGCTTCCAGCAGGAGAGGACTCTTCTGCCCTGGACAGGACGAACCCTGCCAGTGAATACTGTGCCCCCAGAATTGAGATCGCTGCCATCATGCAGCAGCACAAAGGCCAGCAGCTGACTTTGGATTCCCACCTTTCTGGGAATGTAGAACATTGACAAGAATAGCTCCGTTTATATAACAGTTTGTCTCCAACACTGAGAGGTTAAGTAACTTGCCCAGGGTCACACAGCCAGTGTGGGTCCAAGATGGGACTCGCCCCACTTCTTTCTGACTTAGAGGCCTGCTTACTGCCCCCCCCCACCCCCCCAGCCTTTGGGAGGATGTAAATCTGCACTGGTAGAGGGAGTTACCTCACTGAGAAGTCACAGGTTAGGTCCTATATTAAAGTGCTTTCCCTTTAAAGTTTGTAAAATGCTTTACACCCACAATTTCATTGCATCTTCTTAGCAACCCTGTAAAAAAAGTGGTTACCCCCATTTTACAGATGGAAAAAGTGAGACTAAGAGAACTTAAGTGAATTGACCAGGGTTATATATCTAGTAAATGTCTGAGGCAGGTGTCAAAGCTGACTCCTCTTATTTATAGCAGTATCATCATACACTGTTATTTAAACTCCTTAATGTAATCAGTGGACAGCTAGGTGGTGCAGTGGATAAAGTGCCCAACCTGGGGTCAGGAAGACCTAAGTTCAAATCTGACCTTGGGCACATATTAGCTATGTGACCCTGGGCAACTCACTTCACCCTGTTTGCCTTAGTTTCTTCATCTGCAAAATGAGCCAGTAAAGGAAATGGTAAATTATGCCAGTGTCACTATCAAGAAAACCTCAAATGGGGTCATGAAGAGTTGGACACAGCTAATTGTCTATCGCTCCATATATATGTAATCAGTCAATAGGGTACGCATTTAAACACTTACTATACACCTAGTAATGCATCATGTACTATGGGAAATACTAAGAAATAGCTTCTCTTAAGGAGCTAATAGTCTAGCTACAAAGACATCATATTCATAGGAAAACATACTTGAGACTTCCAGATAATATGCAATATATGTGAAGTAAACTCACCAGATAGACAATATAAATACTACAAGAGTTCTTAATCCATTTGGTGTCATGGTTCCCTTCAGTAGTCTAGTGAAACATATGAACCTCTTCTCAGAATAATCTTTGTAAATACTTAAAATACTTAGGATTACAAAGGGAGTCGATTATATTGAAGTATACATATCTATTTTTCACCTTCCTTTAATCTATCTTTATTCTATCTACCTGCCTATCTGCCATTTGCTTATCTCTCTGTCCATCCATCCATCCATCCATCCATCCATCCATCCATCCATCCATCCATCTATCCATCCATCCATCCATCCATCCATCCATCCATCCACCCATCTACCCATCCATCCATCTATCCATCCATCCATCCATCCATCCATCCACCCATCCATCCATCTACCCATCCATCTATCCATCCATCCACCCACCCATCCACCCACCTACCTACCTATCTATCCATCTTTCTACTCCACCCAGATTTAGAGGAAGGAGAGTTCTCTATGGACTGACACTGAAGTCAGAGAGGACCCTAGAAGCAGTCAGTTGTTGTAGATGGAATGTAGGAAGATCTAGGTTCAAATTCTACCTCTGACATTTTCTAGCTGGATGACCTAGGACAAGTCATTTAATCTCTTTAGAGTTTCTTTATCTTTAAAATAAGGGAGAGGGATTGGCATAGACTAAGTGGTCTCCAAGGTCCCTTCCAGCTCTAAGTCTATGCTCCCAGGATCCCCAGCACTGCCCAGAGGAGGTAAGGACGCGCTCTTCCTCTCTTCCTAATCGTTAGGTGTCTCCAAAGGTAGATTGTCAAGGGAGGGAGAGAGTTCCCTGTCACTTGTCTCCAGCAACAGCTGGGTGACCACTTGGTGGTGATATTGCCTGGGGATTCCTGTTCAGAAATGGGTTGTACTAGCTGGCCGCTGAGTTCCTTTCTGACCCTGTGGGGCTCAGATTCTCCAAATTCAGTAGGATTTGCTTGGGCAGAAAGTGAGGACCAGAAATAGGTTTGGGACAGACTCACAGATCTAGGGCTGGAAGGTCATTTAATCCAGCTTCCTCATTTTGCAGATGAGGAAACAGACCCAGGGAGGGAAAATTGACTTGCCCAAGGTCACATAAGTAGTCAGTGACAGAGATGGGCTTGGAACCTAGGTCCTTTAACTCCAAATCATGCTGTGTACCCCACAGTCTTCAATTGAGCTGAAAGAGAGGTAGCCAAGGAGGGCAAGCCTGGTGAGGTAGCCTGGAGCTTGATCGGGGGGTCTAGAATGCCTGACTGGGGTCGGGGTCTAATCTATAGACAGTGGGTTAGTAACTTGCCCAGGGTCACACAGCTAGAGTCTGAGGCAGAGTTTGAACTCAGATCCTTGTCACTCTAGCTCCTGCCGCCATGTGTCTACCAGGCCACTTAGCAGCTCCCAAAGTCACTTTATTGTCATCATTACTCTTTACCTACAGGACGATAGATGAATAAATCCCAGAATATGAGAACTGAAGGTACCTCAGTGACCATTTAGTCCAAGACAATTAGATTCCTGTAAAGGAGGACATCATGTGTGTGAACGTGCTGCCATAGATTACAACAAAGAATGCTTTTTAGCCCAGTGCCTGGCACATAGTAGGTGCTTTATAAATGCTTGTTGACTTGATGTATGCAAGAAGAGGATGTTATCCAAGAAATAAATGATGGGGGGAAAAAGATGTTCCTTGCTGCCTCTCCATGGGGTAATACTATCATATTATCATTACAGGATAATACTGAGCAGGGATTTTTGACCTGGGGCCCATGAGTTTGGTTTGGGGGGATGTTTTTGGTGATAGTTTGATAACTGCTTTTCAGTAGGATTGGTTTCCTTGGCCATTCCATGTGATTTATTTTATTCATTCAAGAACATTCTTTTGAGGAAGGCTGCGGAGAGTAGCTGCCCACAATGACCATAGATTAGGTACCATGGCAATGCTCAGAGAGCTGACTTTAAAATAGGAGAGGTTAAATTATAAAAATAAAATAAAATAAAATAAGAAGGGTTAAATTAAAAGAAAAATTAAAAACAATAAAATAAAATAGGAAGGGACTGAAACTGCAATGTGATTGACCTAGGGAGCTCTCAGGTGAAGACACTCCCTCCGCCAATACAGGTAGGCATCTTCTCTGCCCGTTGGAGAGCTAATGGAGAGAGGCTAAGTGGGTGGCCAGGGTCACACTGCCAATATGTTCCAGGGGAGTGACTTGAACCCGGGGCTTCCTGGCTTTGTGGTCAGTTCTCTGTCCAGTACACTATCCTCTGGAATTTAAAATACAGATATTTATTTATGTAAATTTACATGCATATTTTTCATTACTTATGCCTAAAACAAGAATGTAGGAGATACTGGTTTTTTTTTTTTTTTCTTTTTCTTTTTGGTGAGGCTATTGGGGTTAAGTGACTTGCCCAGGGTCACACAGCTAGTAAGTGTCAAGGGTCTAAGTTTGAATTTGAACTCATGTCCTCCTGGCTCCAAGGCCGAGGCTCAATCCATTGCGCCACCTAGCTGCCCCTAGGAAATACTGTTAACACTAGCCATGGACGCCAGGGGAGTAATCACAGTAACTGAATTTACATACATTGTCTCCCTTGAGCCTCAGGGTAGCCCTGTGAGGTAAGTGTTATCAGTATTGCTCTCTCTTATATGCTTGTCTCAGGATTATCCCCATTCATGGGAAGGATTTGCAGATGGATTGCCTGAGAACAAGTCTCTTGTGCTTGGCCATGTAGCAAGTATGTGAGGCAGGATTTGAACTCCGAGGCTAGTGTACTAGTCTCCATTCACTATCTACTAGGCTGCTTCTCTGGAAGTTCCTTCCTTAGCAAGTTGCTAGGACTGTGACCAGCAAGGTTTTCCATCAAAGGAGCAGTTTAACAGGAACAGCTGAGGAGGTGTGAAGAGTGTGCCTAAGCCCTCCTCACTTGATCTTCAACAGCTCTATTTTCATTTGTCAGTTTTTCACAGATCTTCACCTGCTCTTAGCAAATCTTCAGAAGCTTGGGGCTGGCTGGAGCTGCTCCTAACTGGGTGTACCCAGAGGAGATTTGTACAGAAGGGGCAGGGACTCCTCATAATGGGGAGAAGGAGGTGGGACCGTGAGAAGCAAAGTGGAGAGTGGAAAATGGGGCTAAATAAGATGCTTGTCTTTTTTTGGGGGGAGCATTTGAAAATATTCTTATATGTATTATATTAATATTGCTGGGTATATTATACCTACTGGCCATGTTGCTGTATATTTTTCACAGCAAATTCTAGTAAGTTATTAGCAGGAGATACTTGAAGCAGCTTGCCATACTCCAGGTAGATAGGTGAATAATGTGGTAGTAGTAATTTCAGTAATTTTTCAGTTGTATCTGACTCTTTATGACCCCATTTGGGGTTTTCTTGGCAGAGATACTGGAGGGGTTTGCCATTTTCTTCTCCAGCTCATTTTACAGATGAGGAAACTGAGGCAAACAGGGTGAAGTGACTTGGTCAAGGTCCCACAGCAAGTAAGTGTCTAAGGACAGATATGAACTTGGGAAGATGAGTTTTTCTGACTCCAGGTCCAGTGCCCTGTGCACTATGGTGCCACCTAGCTGTCCAAACAACCACATACTAACAAGCTACAGGTAGGCTATATTGGAGCTGACCAAGGTGTCAAAGAATTTCTTCTGGAAACTCCCTGAATGTAGGTTGGCTACTCATCTGTAACTTCTAGAGTCAGAGAACGGACTGGAACACTGGTCCTCTTGGCTCCCAGGCGAACTCTTATGAAAACTCTTATCAAAATAATCCCCACAGTTATTTTCCTTTAGCCGATGCTGAGATGGACCAGAAATTGCCTGTTTTCGGAGCATTTTTGAGGTGTCTTGTGAGAGGCGTTCTGTATCATGAGCACATGATTCACAGGAAGGAGACCCCAGTT